TGTCGTTTTTCTATTGCTTAATCGCTTAACTTACTTGCTGCACTATTAATTCTACACTTTATCACTGGCTGGTGCTATAGCCTTTATCGATACCTGCTGCTTTAGTATCATACATGTTGTAGAATCACTGAAGAAGGCACATTCTCCCCTATCTTCCTCCTCCACTTTGGTACTTTGCTACGAGTTTTTTCTTGAATTCTATCTTGTTTCTTTCCTTCTTTACCAAAGGGCTGGCACTAGGAGCTTTCTTTGGGCCTATGGTGGCTTATTTAGCAGTTGCAAGCACAAAAAGCAATGGATTATTATGAAATGTGTCATATGAACCTGTGGGGTGATGGTCACTCTCCCACAAATCATGGTGGGGCGTTCATAAGCCAAGGTTCCACCGTATTGTTAATATAACCTTTCAAGTCTAGTTATCACACAGTAAGAGTAGTTGCCTATGTCTGTATGATATGTAGTGTAATGACAAGTCTGTGGACAGATTACAGTACACAGTGTTCTACATAGGTTATTCTTTGTAATAAAAATAGTTATTATCTCCTTAGAATACACAGTAAATGTGTAGAAGGTGTAGGAGTTATTACTGTACCTTCTTTTGTAACCTGTTTCATTGTTCTACCACTCTGTGAAGGCCTTTATCTTTTTAGCACCTCCCTTTCTTCCTGTTTATGTATTAAGAAATCTTAAGATATTTTTTTGTATTCTTTTTTGTATTCTCTTATAATCTTGTATAAGTTTATCCTGTCTCCTCTTTTCCTCCAGTCAGTCAGTGAGGACACATCCAATCCTTTCAGCTCTTTTTTATAACTTAGACTTTTTTTGTTCTGGGAGAAATTTTGTAGTACAGCCTCTCCTCACTTGTTTACTGACGACTCAGACTTACGACGGGTTCTCTGACAAGTATGGATGCCTAAATATAATTAGAGCTGATTTCCTCTATTACAACATACAGTACAGTGCTGTATAAGCATTTAAAAATATACCAGAAATGTTATAAATGGTGCAAAGGTGACATTAAAACAATATCAAAGATGGATAACACAAACCCACTACCATTAAAGTATTCTCCTCACTTAGTGACAATTCGTTTACTGACGTGGTCTTAGGAATGGAACTCCGTCATTAAGTGAGGAGAGGCTATATTCTACATCTTAGAACTATTTCTAGGTTATCCATGTTTTTAAGGTGCAAACACCATACCACCATCACATATTCAATTTTACTTTTAACATATGTGGTGAATAATGTATTTCAACATTACCCCATACATATATCTAAAGGCAGTTTTATAGTTTGCCAGTGTAACATACAAGTTTGTTATGATTTTATTAGTAGGATCTGGTGACAATTTTTTGACTGATGACTCCTGGGTACCTTTCTTTGTCTGATGGTTTAAATAATACTCTGTGTGGCTAAGTTTCACTTTTTCCCCATTTGTATTAAAAGGCACCTGTCAGCATTAAATTTTACCATCCATCAGTTCTACAGTCATTTTTACTTCTGATTTCGAAGAAGATCTTTGCATCATCAGTAAACACGTTCACATAACTTTTATTAGGTCAGGTTAGGTATACCAGGAAACGTGTACGGTAGGGTTATAATTGAAAGAATTAGAGGTAAGACAGAATGTAGGATTGCGGATGAGCAAGGAGGTTTCAGAGTGGGTAGGGGATGTGTAGATCAAGTGTTTACATTGAAGCATATATGTGAACAGTATTTGGATAAAGGTAGGGAAGTTTTTATTGCATTTATGGATTTAGAAAAGGCATATGATAGAGTGGATAGAGGAGCAATGTGGCAGATGTTGCAAGTATATGGAACAGGTGGTAAGTTACTAAATGCTGTAAAGAGTTTTTATGAAGATAGTGAGGCTCAGGTTAGGGTGTGTAGAAGAGAGGGAGACTATTTCCTGGTAAAAGTAGATCTTAGACAGGGATGTGTAATGTCACCATGGTTGTTTAATACATTTATAGATGGGGTTGTAAAAGAAGTAAATGTTAGGGTGTTCAGGAGAGGGGTGGGATTAAAATATTGGGAATCAAATACAAAATGGGAATTGACACAGTTACTTTTTGCTGATGATACTGTGCTTATGGGAGATTCTAAAGAAAAATTGCAAAGGTTAGTGGACGAGTTTGGGAGTGTGTGTAAAGGTATAAAGTTGAAAGTGAACATAGAAAAGAGTAAGGTGATGAGGGTATCAAATGATTTAGATAAAGAAAAATTGGATATCAAATTGGGGAGGAGGAGTATGGAAGAAGTGAATCTTTTCAGATACAGTGGTCCCTCGCTTTTCGTAGTTCTCGGCAATCGTAAATTTCGCCAATCGTAGGGGTATTTTCGTATAAACATGGACTCGCTTTTCATAGGTTGACTCGCGAATAGTAGTTCGTCCAGGACGCTTACGCATGGTGGGAGCCGGGGAGGCCTTCCTACCCAGCCAGTCTGGCATTGTTTACCAGTGAGTGAAGGTAACCTCAAGTGCTCCTACGAAATATTTCATAATATTCCACTCATTTTAGTGCTTGCAAATACTAAATAAGCTACCATGGCTCCAAAGAAAGCTAGTGCCAAGCCTGTGGTAAAGAAGGTGAGAAATATGTACAGTGACAAAGTCTTGTACCATTTTAGGGAAGTGTTAAAGAGACGCAAGAAACAGAGCTCTCTCCACAGTTACTTTGCGAGACAGGACTAGAGTGACTCTCAAGGTGGTCCTAGTGGCATTAAGAAACAGAGAAGAGAAGCAACCCCAGAGAAGCAATTGGTACCTGAGGTGTTGCTGGAAGGGGATTCCCTTCCAAACTGTAAACAATCCAATCTCTCTCCTCCTCCAGTCTCCCATACACTAAGAAGAATCTCCAATAAAGGTAAGTGTTATGCTGTTAATGTTTCATTCATCATTTCCCATTGTATTGTTTATGTACTACATGTATATTTCATGTAAAAATTTTTTTTGTTTTAACACTTTTGAGTGTCAGAAACGGATTAATTGTATTTACATTATTTCTTATGGGGAAAATTGATTCGCAAATCGTAAATTTCGTTTATAATAGCTCCTCCAGGAACGGATTAATTACAAAAAACGAGGGACCACTGTACTTGGGAGTTGACGTGTCGGCGGATGGATTTATGAAGGATGAGGTTAATCATAGAATTGATGAGGGAAAAGAGATGAGTGGTGCGTTGAGGTATATGTGGAGTCAAAAAACGTTATCTATGGAGACAAAGAAGGGAATGTATGAAAGTATAGTAGTACCAACACTCTTATATAGGTGCGAAGCTTGGGTGGTAAATGCAGCAGCGAGGAGACGGTTGGAGGCAGTGGAGATGTCCTGCTTAAGGGCAATGTGTGGTGTAAATATTATGCAGAAAATTCGGAGTGTGGAAATTAGGAAAAGGTGTGGAGTTAATAAAAGTATTAGTCAGAGGGCAGAAGAGGGGTTGTTGAGGTGGTTTGGTCATTTAGAGAGAATGGATCAAAGTAGAATGACATGGAAAGCATATAAATCTATAGGGGAAGGAAGGCGGGGTAGGGGTCGTCCTTGAAAGGGTTGGAGAGAGGGGGTAAAGGAGGTTTTGTGGGCGAGGGGCTTGGACTTCCAGCAAGCGTGCGTGAGCGTGTTAGATAGGAGTGAATGGAGACGAATGGTACTTGGGACCTGACAATCTGTTGGAATGTGAGCAGGGTAATATTTAGTGAAGGGATTCAGGGAAACCGGTTATTTTCATATAGTCGGACTTGAGTCCTGGAAATGGGAAGTACAATGCCTGCACTTTAAAGGAGGGGTTTGAGATATTGGCAGTTTGGAGGGATATGTTGTGTATCTTTATACGTATATGCTTCTAAACTGTTGTATTCTGAGCACCTCTGCAAAAACAGTGATAATGTGTGAGTGTGGTGAAAGTGTTGAATGATGATGAAAGTATTTTCTTTTTGGGGATTTTCTTTCTTTTTTGGGTCACCCTGCCTCGGTGGGAGACGGCCGACTTGTTGAAAAAAAAAAAAAAAAGGTAGGTTCGTCATGAAACAGGACGAGTGTTCCTTGACGTGGGTCTTAATCATATGATGACTCGCTGCTGGAGCTTTTGGTTATCTGACTGAAGCCTTCCACTGACTTACCGCTCCACCCCTTTAAAAATTATGGTTATGATTATAGCCATTGATTATTATCATTATTTTTTCTTCCATGTTATTTGTATAAATTATCAACATTATTAGTGCAAATACCAATTTCTTTGGCACCCTTCTAGTAACATTACCCCATGAAGATATTGTGTCTTTTATCACTTTACATTTTTCTTTCATCAAGGAAACCTCTCCTCCATTGTAATAGTTTGCCTTTTATTCATCCTTTTTTCTTTTGTTTTCAAATGAATCTCATGAGGAAGTCTCTCCAAAATTATCTTCAAATGTAAATAATTGCAATCTACCTATCTATTTTGTTCCTGAATAGTTTTTGTGACTTTGCCATAGTAACTTAATAAATTTGATGTACAGTAATTTGCTGATCAAAAAGCAAAGTGTGTGCTGGTTGTTAGTTCTCTGCTGTGTCAATATTTTATTCAGTTTTCTCTAATGGCTTTTGTCAGTATTTTCACAACAGTGTTTGTCAATGAGAAAGGCTTGTTGTTTAGAGGATACTCCCTGTCAACTTTTTTAAATAAGTCTGGTAATGTGCACTCTTGCAAGTCTTGTGAAGTGCTCGAGTGTAAAACTGGTATGTTCATGATTATATATGACTGTTGATGTACTTGATTGTAAGGCTGATGATGTACATTCCCAGAATAAGATGGCAGTGTACATGTTGCTGGTTCAAGAGGACACCATTCAGTAAAGCTCTATATGGTGATTACTTTAAAATTTACTGTACAATTTTCACCAGAAAGAATATAAAGACATATTTCTTTTGAGTTTTTTAAATGGGTGCTAAATTTAGTTTACATACACTATCTACATCTTCCAGTTAATGAAAATATTCCAATTTATTTTTTAAAAGGCTAAGTATCCTGCACGTGTGCGTCACATGCTCATGGAGTTAAATCGTGCTGTTTGTATTGACCATCCTGAGGAAAAAATTCCATGGTTTCATGAAAAATACTGTGAAGAACTGTTTCAAACACGTATGTATATTCTTTCTTCAAGTTGGGTAATAATTGACGAGAGCTCAAAAATCATTTACAAAATAAGTGTTCTAATTTGGAGCTTGATTTTCACAAAACATGATTTTGCAGGTTTCTGTATAAAGTTTAGTAATTTCTTTCACATTGATATGTACAGTGTATGGTTTAAATAAGTATATCATTATTATTACTCTAATTATTATTATTATTATCATTATAATCATAACTAAGTGCTAAACCCATAAGGGTCATGCAGCCTAAATAAGCACAGTACCTAGGTAATGGAGATTGAAAGCATGGATGAATTGCTTTGTGAATCATTATTAATACTAATGTTTGCCTATTTGCATGTTTATGGGTCTGGGGGGTCATCACCCCAGTGATCTGTTGGAAAGGAAGTACAGTATTGACAGGCTCCAAGCCATTTAGTGAATGAATTTTTATTTAATTTCTTGCTTGTTAATGTTGTTCTAACTGTACAGTGTAATTTTGTCCTAAAGTAAAATTTGGTAACTATTTCTTGTCATACATACAGTGGTACCTCCACACTTGCGAGCTCATCCACGTGTGAGTTTTTCCAAATACAGCAGTCGCTCAGTTAATTTTTTGCTTCCATATGCGAGCAAAATTTCCATAAGCGAGCAGGCCTCAAGGGAGGTTCCTTGACGCTGGTGAGGGGCTCTTGTTCTTGATCTAGGGAATTGGTCTCATTTGTTTGTTGGACTATATTATTGAAACTTGGACAATGTATGATGGAAAGATGCTTCTTAATGTGCACCAAAAATGAAAGAAATTGGACCATAAATAACGGAGCTCACTTCCAGACACTAGCTGCCCCTTAATGGTATATTTTCATATGATTTTTATGGTTGTATTCTCATTTCTTTGGCCTCATTTGATAGAACGGAAGATATACTACAGATATGATTTTGATTGGTTTCATGATGAAATTGAGCTCAAAGTAGCAGAAATGTTTGATTTTTGCCTATGTTCAAGAGTAAACAAATGATGTCATAGTCCAATATGTGTCCAACTGGCCAGTCTAATAATGGGTTGACATTATTTATACAGTTATTACAATAATGCAGAAGCCTGTATAACAGTAAATCCTCTATTGTTATTAGAATATGTACGTACTAAATAATAATAATAATGTAATAATAATAATATGTGTAATAATAATAATAATATACATAATACAACCATAATAATAATTATAATAATATGTACATACTACTTATAATTTAGGTTGAGCATGCCACCACAAGATGACAGTGCATATCAAAACAAAGATCAGCAGTCCATGTGCGCTTAGCTTACCTCACAGGTGAAGGAATACTCCTGTTTTCCTTACGTTTCATCCAGTTATTTCACTAAGTTTCTTGTTTCTAACCATTGTTCCTAAGAAAGCAAGTCCACAGCAGAGTGCCGAGAAGAAAAAGAGGATGATTACCATGGATTTAAAGCAGGAAATCATTGATAAACATGGACAAGATGCCAGGGCTAAGGACTTTGCCAGACATTACCAATGTACCACTTCTACAATATATACAATACTAAAGCACAAGGAGTCCATAAAGGCTATAGTGCCAGCAAAAGGCATTAAAGTAATGTCTAAACACCAGACCTCTGCCAGTGAACAAATGAAGACTGCTGTTGATGTGGTTGAGGGAGAAGGAGCTCGCCAGAGATACCATGACTGAGGGTATCATCTGTGAGAAGGCATGAGGCATTTACGCTGATTTGCTGCAGAAGACCCCGGGCACTTCAATGGACGAGGCATCACAAACTTCGTTTATAGCCAGTTGGGGCTGGTTCGAAAAGTTTAAAAGGAGGACTGGCATTCACTCTGTCTTCAGGAATGGTGAGGGAGGGAGCTCTGATGTGAAGGCAGCTGAGGATTTTCTCAAAACATTTGCAGAAGTGATAGCAGCTGAGGAATACATTCCTCAGCAAGTCTTCAACCGTGATGAGACGGGGCTCTTCTGGAAGAAGATGCCAAGGAGGACTTACCTAGCTGCAGAGAAGAAGATGCCAGGTCACAAACCCATGAAGTTAGTTAGTTTAATATCTTTATTATGCACCCCATACCCATCCTGTGGGCGGTAGTCAAAAGATTGCAAAGGTACATAATGGGTCCAGTGACTGGACCACAAAGTTATGATAGCTGAACTAGTTACAAAGGTAATGAACTCCAGGTAGATCTGGTCACAATCATGGCAAGTTACAGAGGTAATGAATCAGCTTCACTCCTATACATGGTTACAGTCATGAGCAAATTACAAAGTAATGAAGGACAGGTTAACCCTCGCACTGTGCATAAATGCGAGTGACAATTGCAAGATTAAGCCACTGCTGGTATATATCATTCAGAAAACCCCAGAGCCTTTAAGTCGCATAAGATTCTAAAAGAAAAACTGGACGTTATGTGGAGGGCAAACCCAAAGACATGGGTCACCACACAGTTCTTTGTGGAGTGGGTAAACCTGGTCTTTGGTCCCACCGTTAAGAAGTATCTCCAGGAAAATAACTTACCTCTGCAAGCCCTTCTCGTCCTGGGCAGTGTACCTTCTCACCCACCGAACATCGCAGATGACATGATCAAAGAGTTCAAGTTTATAAAGGTTCTCTACCTTCCACCTAACACCACCCCTATCCTGCAGCCCATGGACCAGTAGGTGATTTCCAGTTTCAAGAAGCTCTTCACCAAGCACCTGTTCCACCGCTGCTTTGGCGTGACAGAGAACAAACTTGACCCTTTGAGAGTTCTGGAAGGACCACTATAACATCATGATATGCCTCAAAATTATAAATATGGCCTGGTAGGATGTTACAAGGAGGACCTTGACCTCTGCATGGAAGAAGCTGTGGCCTGAAGTTGTGTCCGAAAGGGACTGTGAAGGATTTGAACCCAAAGAGCCAGTGGTGAAGGAGATTGTGTCCTTTGGAAAGATCATGGGCATGGAGGTGGATGAAGATGTGAAAGCTCTGATCGAGGGGCACTCCAAGGAGCTGACAATGGAGGAGTTAAATGAACTACATAAGCAGCAGCATCAGGAGGTTTTGCAGAACATTCGTACCGCGGAGGCGCAAGATGTGGAGGAATGTATCTCTACAAGTGAGATAAAGGAAATGTTGGGAATCTGGGAGAGATTATCAGGCTTTATTGAAAGGAAACACCCAGAGAAAGTTTCAAGTGGTCGTGCAGTGGACCTATTTAGTGATGCTTGCATAAATCATTTCCGAAACATTATGAAAAAGAGGAAGAAACAAACCTCCTTGGACAGATTTTTTATTGAAATGCTCTGCAGATGAAAGTGTAACAAGCATGGATAAAAAGCCAAAAATCAGTGACTAGTGAAGTACGTATCATTAAAATAAAAATTGTAGCAGTTAAGTGACGAAGTGCATCATTAACGGTGTAGCAATTAAGTGTACATAGGATCAAGAGTGTATCATTCAGAGAAAGCTTCAAGTGGTCATGCATTGGACCTATTTCATGACGGCATGTGCCAATGTGCCCAGTATCTCTTCTCCATCTCCAAGGTAAATGCTGTATTACTACATAATTTCTTTACATATTATTATTATTATTATTATTATTATTATTATTATTATTATTATTATTTGCCATACAAACACTCCATTTTCTGTTATAATAAAAGCATGGGAAGGTATGTCAGAAGCAATGGCCATGGTGGTGGCCCTATACACAACAGCAACAATCACTGCTGTGCTTCCGCCTCCACTAACACTACTCACATACGTAATATTTCATTTATTCTAGTGTATACATTATGTTTCTATGTTATTAATACTGTTTACGTCATATTAGATGAATTGTGATAGATAAGCCGTATTGATGATATTAGTGAAATATTGAAGTATCTTGTTAGCCTCCTGAGAGCTGGGAATTGATTAATTGCATTTCAGTTAAATGAGGAAAATTGACTCTGCAAATGACCAAATCTGGATGTGAGCAAGGTCACGGAATGGATTAAACTCACAAGTAGAGGTTCCACTATATATATATTCATTGAGAATTTATTGGTATAGTATAGTACATAATAATTATCCAATTTTCTTTGATCAGTTACAGTACCCAATAATGCTTTCAACACTGAGGTTCATCAGGTGCTCTCTCAGGTGATTGGGGGCCCAGAGGTGCTGAGAAGCAATACCAGAACTCATTATTATTATCTTTTGGGTATGTTATTTTAATTATGATATTGTAATACAATTTATGATGTAAACTATAAGAACATTAGACAGTATTGTATAGGTAGTGATATGTCATGAAAAAATTGCTAGGGTAAGCAAATGATACTTAAACTTTTTGGTAAAACTGAAGTATGAATGTTATTAAGTATTATATTCTATAGTACTGGGGTTACAATCTTTCCTCCGTAGGCCATGTGTGTTGTGGGGAGGGGGAGTGACTAAAATACCAGGAGCAAGGGGCTAGTAACCCCTTCTCCTGTATAAATTACTAAATTTAAAAAAAAAAACTTTCGTTTTTCATTTTGGGCCACCCTACCTCGGTGGGATATGGCCAGTGTGTTGAAAGAAGAAGAAGAAAAAGAAGATCGTTTGTTTTTCTTTTAAGGTTACCCTGCCTTAGTGGGAAACAACCAATGTGTTGAAAAAAAAATTGTTTTCATTGATTCATAGCTCACTGGAATTCTTGATTTTTAAGGAAATGACCAGTAACCTTGTCATAAATTTCTTGCTTGCTCTAGGTATTCTGTAATGATTCATTTTCAAGTAATAGAAAGGCAAAGCTTTGCAGTCTGTTTTGACTAAGAATTTCTGCAGTATGTTTTAATTTGTTTTAGAGCAGAGATGAAGATTGAGACATTTATGCAACATATGGGAATATTTATTCAGGAAACGTTTCGCCACACAGTGGCTTCATCAGTCCAATACAAAGTAGAAAGGCGTAAGGAGAGGAGGAGTTTGAGATAATCAGTCCTTCAGCCTGGAGTCGATGTGTTCAGTCCATCAATCTTGTAGAATGTACAGCATAGGGCCATAGACGTGGCTTATATACTGTAGTGAGGTGAGGTGAAGCAGGCGGAGGCGGGGTCATAGTGGTACCATCCACTAGTCGAAGTAGGTCTTCGTCCAAAGGTTGGACAAGTGTTGAAGAATTCTTTGTAACAAGATCCCATGATGCTGCAGTGTCTGACAGATGTGATGAATGGTTTGAAAAACCGACAAGTTGAAGATTGAGACACTTATGCAACATTTGGGAATCTTTATTCAGGAAATGTTTCGCCACACAGTGGCTTCATCAGTCCTATACAAAGTAGAAAGGCGTAAGGAGAGGAGGAGTTTGAGGTAATCAGTCCCTCAGCCTGAAGTCGATGTGCTCAGTCCATCAATCTTGTAGAATGTACAGCATAGGGCCATAGACGTGGCTTATATACTGTATACTGTATACTTATATACTGTCAGACACTGCAGCATCATGGGATCTTGTTACAAAGAATTCTTCAACACTTGTCCAACCTTTGGACGAAGACCTACTTCGACTAGTGGATGGTACCACTATGACCCCGCCTCCTCCTGCTTCACCTCACCTCACTACAGTATATAAGCCATGTCTACGGCCCTATGCTGTACATTCTACAAGATTGATGGACTGAACACATCGACTCCAGGCTGAGGGACTGATTACCTCAAACTCCTCCTCTCCTTACGCCTTTCTAATTTGTATTGGACTGATGAAGCCACTGTGTGGCGAAACGTTTCCTGAATAAATATTCCCATATGTTGCATAAGTTTCTCAATCTTCAACTTGTCGGTTTTTCAAACCATTAATCACTAAGCAGAGATGTTGTGCTCTACAAATGCAGTAAGTGCTGGAGTCATTGATTCACAAAGGCAAGCTAGCTACTTCACTGTATTCTTTCTCCAAGTTATTTACCTTTATAAAACTTAAAATTTGTGTTATAGTTGTATATTTGAATTCTTCTGACCTGTAAATAACTCAAAGTTGTGATTTCGTTCATAAAAATCAAAGAAAATGAAAAGCAAGTTTTCATTTTTTTAACAAACTGGTCATCTCCCAATAAGGTAGTGTGTTTCCTCTTCCCCTACCAAAAGGATGATTCACTCATTCAGTGTCTTGCCAAAAGTATTCTGACATCACATTTCAGAGGGTCCTCTGAACTGCAACATCTTCATTCCTCCTTAGAATGTAGGCACTGTACTTCTAACCTCCATGGCTCAAGTCCAGCTAACTGGTGTCCCATGAATCCCTTCATAAATGTTACCTTATTCGCACTCCAAGAGCACATCAAGTCATCAGTACCACTTGCTCTCACTCTTGCTACTACGACTTACACTCAGTATACATTACAGTATACATGTGAATGTACATGTGTGTACACACACTCATCTGAGTTTCCATCTAATTTCTTAATACCTCTTGTTCTTGTAGTATTTCCTTTCATTTCCATAGGAAAATGGATGAGAATTCTTCCATGAGCAATGTGGATCATAGAAGTAGCTAAAATTCCAGGAGCAAGAGGTTGGTAACTCCTTTTTCTGTATTAATTACCACAAAGGAAAAAGGAACTTCTTTTGTAAACTCACATAATGATGGAGAGCATAAAAGCTCTAAGAATCCTAATAATTCCAAATTTGTGAATTTGATGATTAAACGATTAAGTATATTATTGTATTTCTACAGTGTTGCTGGTAGCCAACTGTAGGGAGTTGTAGTGAGGCGAGGGACAACCAGGAGTCTGCTCTGCTTTTACTGCCCAAATCTCTAACAGAGAAAATTACTTTTCAGTGAATTTTTTTTTAACACACCCAAGATTGTTCAACTACCTCCCAGCATACATGAGGGAGATTACCAATAGACCCCTGACTGTCTTTAAGAAAGCATTGGACAGGCACCTAAAGTCAGTACCTGATCAGCTGGGCTGTGGTTCATATGTCAGTTTATGTGTGGCCAGCAGTAACAGCCATGCTGATCAGACCCTGTTCCAACATGAGGCCTGGTCTCAGAGTGGTCTGTGGGGGCAGTGACCCCTGAAAACCCTCTGCAGGTATACTGGTCATCTCCCACTGAGGTAGGGGGGCCCAAAAAAAGAACAAGCACTTTCACCATCAATCACTCTCATCACTGTCTTACCAGAGGGGTGCTGGTATTACAGCTCAGATGCCCCTCAAAACTTTAACATCACCACCCCTCCTTTAGAGTACAGGTACTGTACTTCCCACCTCCAGGACTTGAGTCCAGCTAACTAGTTTTCCTGAATCCTTTAATAAATGTTACCTTAATCACACTCCAACAGCACGCCACTTCATAAAACCCATGTGCTTCCACTCGTCCTATTTAACAGGCTCACATATGCTTGTTGGATTTCCAAGCCCTTCCCTCCACTACAGATTTATACTCCCAGTCATCCTGTTGTACTCCATCCTCTCTAAATGTCAAAACCATCTCAACAATCCCTCCTCAGCTTTATGAATAATTCTCTTAGCAACCACATACCTCCTCCTAAACTCCAGACTGAATTCTCTGTATAATATTCACATCACATTGCCTTCAGACTCAGCATCTCCACTGTCTCCAGCCTTCTCCTTGCTCCAACTTTCAAAACCCATGCTTCACACTCATATAAGAGTGTTGGTACCACTGTTTCCTGATACATTCCCCTTTTTGCCTCCATGGGCAATGTTCCTTGTTTCTACAGATGCCTCAATTCTCCACCCACTTTTTTTTCCTTGTCAGTTTTATGGTTCACCTCATCTTTCATAGACCCATCTGCTGACAAGTCCACTCCCAAATATCTGAACACATTCAGTTCCTTCATAATCCCTCCCTCCAATCTGATGTTCGGTCTTTCATCACCTAAATTTTTTGTTATCCTTATCATCCTGCTCTTTCCTATGTTCACTTTTAATTTCCTTCTTTTATGTGCTCTTCCAAATTTATCCACCAACCTTTACAACTTCTCTTCAGAATCTCTTAAAAGTACCACGACATCGGCAAAAAGCAACTGTGACAACTCCATACCACTTTGTATTAAATTCTTTATCTTTTAATCCCACACCTCTCCCCAACACCCCAGCATTCACTTATTTTACAACCAAATCTCTGAATATGTCAAATAACCATGGTGTCCTGCACCTCGGTTGGTAGCGCACACACTGAAGTTTGTGGTGCAATTCCCAGTACAGGTGGAAGCATTTAGACATGTTTCCTTAAGACACCTGCTGTCCCTGTTTGCCTAACAGTAAATAGGTATGTGGGTGTTAGTAGACTGGTATGGGTCACATCCAGGGGACAAAATTAACATAATTTGCCTGATATGCTCTGCATAACAAGGGACTTTCTATAGAGTTTGTCATTGATGTCAGCTAGGTCTGTGCAAGTTGTACCATGTACTTGTACAAATAAAGATTAATATTATTATTATTATTAAATAGAATGACTTCGAGAGTGTATAAATCTGTAGTGAAGGGAAGGTGGGGTAGGGGTTGGCCTAGGAAAGGTTGGAGGGAGGGGCTTTTGTGTGCGAGGGGCTTGGATTTCCAGCAAGCATGCGTGAGTGTGTTAGATAGGAGTGAATGAAGACAAATGGTTTTTAGGACTTGACATGCTGTTGGAGTGGGAGCAAGGTAATATTTATGAAGGGATTCAGGGAAACCGGCAGGCCAGACTCGAGTCCTGGAGATGGGAAGTACAGTGCCTGCACACTGAAGGAAGGGTGTTAATGTTGCAGCTTTATAACTGTAGTGTAAGCACACCTTTGGCAAGACAGTGATGGAGTAAATGATGGTGAAAGTTTTTCTTTTTTGGGCCATCCTACCTTAATGGGAAACAGCTGATGTGTTAATAAAAAAAAATATTATTATGATTATTATTATAGTAACATCATGTATCCCTGTCTAAGGCCTATTTTTACTGGAAAATAATCTCCCTCTCTCCTACACACCCTTACTTAAGCCTCATTATCCTCAAAAACTCTTAACTGCTTTCAGTAACCTACCATTTATTCAATACACTTACAACATTTGCCATATTGCTCCTTTATCCACCCTATCATGTGCCTTTTCTAAATCCATGAACACATTGAAAACTTCCTTACTCTTATCTAAATATTGTTCACTTATGTGCTTCAGTGTAAATACTTGGTCTGCATATTCCCTACTCTTCTTAAAACCTCCTTGCTTGTGTGCAGTCCAGCTCTCTGTCTTACCCTTAAATTTTTCAATAGTAACTACCATCCTAGGTAGTAGGTTGGTAGACAGCAACTGCCCAGGGAGGTACTACAGTCCTGCCAAGTGAGTGTGAAACGAAAGCCTGTGGTATGATTGCTGGTGTCTTTTTTTCTGTCTCATAAACATGCAAGATTTTAGGTATGTTTTGCTACTTCTTCTTATACTTAGGTCACACTACATATGCATGCACAAGCATACATATACAGTCTCTCCTCAGTTAACGACGGAGTTCTGTTCCTAAGACCACGTTGGTAAATGAATTCGCTGCTAAGTGAGGAGCATACTATAATGGTAGTGGGTTTGTGTCAACCATTTTTTATATTGTTTTAATGTCACCTTTGCACCATTTGTAACATTTCTGGTATATTTTTAAATGTTTGCACAGTACTGTACTGTATATTGTAATAAATAAAATAGCTCTAATATACATTATTTAGGTATGCATGCTGGTCAGAGAGCTTGTCATAAGTTCGAGTTGTCAGTAAACAAGTACATATACGTCCCTAGGTGAGGAGAGGTTGCATGTACACACACCCCTCTGGGTTTTATTCTATTTTCTTACTAGTTTTTGTTCTTGTTTATTCCCTCCCATCTCCATGGGAAAGTGGAACAGAATTCTTCCTCCATAACCCATGCATGTCATAAGAGGCAACTAACATCCTGGGAGCAAGGGTCTAGTAACCCCTTCTC